CTCCCGCAGCTTCCGCACAGCCCGCCTCCTGCACACACACGCCCTCGCCGCCGCACGCCATCCCACGCGCCACACCACACCCACCACACCACCAAGGCTGCCACCCCGACCACCCCACCACAGCCACCCGCCCACCTGAGCATGATAGGAACTCCACCCGCTCCATGTTCATGCCCACCGCCTTCCAGATCTCCACCAGGTAGCGCCCCACCACCTGGATCTTCTTCAGGTCGCCGCCCATCTTGTTGTTCATCTGCGCAAACCAGTCGGCCACCCTGCACGGCGGCGGCGGCGAGAAGGGGACGGCGGGCGAGGGTGACGCTGGGACAGGGCGGGGCCGGCATTGCGCTGGGCGCTGGACGGAGGCGGAGGGCGGGGGATCAACTTCATCAGTCCTCCGCGCTCCTCGGCCCAGCAGCGGCGCTCTGTGCTTGGTTGCCTGCCGGCCCTAGGCTTGCTGCGGGGCTCCTGCCCCATCCTCGCGCCCTGCCCCGCCACCCCGCCCTCACCAGAACTTGAAGGTCACGCCGCACTTGGTCAGCTTGTTCACGTTGAGCGCCTTGAGCACGCCCTGCGCGATGTGCATGCGCCCCGAGGGCTCAAACCCGTCGTACGCCACAATGTGCGGCTTCTTCTCCAGCAGCCGCCGCAGCTCCGCCTCCTGGATGCACTCCTCCCCCACGCTCCGGCACAGCGCAAACTTCTCGTCCAGTGTGAGCCTGCGGGCAGGCACGGCTGGCAGGGCGAGTGAGGCAACGAGGTGCCACCCGGGCGCAGCTCTTGACCCGAGGCAGTGCAGCGGCGGCGGCGGCGGTGCCGGCAGGGAGCAGCGGCGGCGGGGAGTCTGCCTGCTGGCGGCGATGGAGCGTGCCCGCGTGTTGCATGAATGCGGCCTCGAATTGCGAGTGGGAGGGCCATGCGGGCAGCAGGACTCCCACTTGCAAGTCTCATCATGCAAGCCAGACATGCAGGCCGCGCTCACTCGGCATCCGGCTTTTTCAGCAACTCAGAGATTTTGTAAGTAATCTGCTCCACATCAGGCGAGGCCTCGGCCGGGACCTGCTGCTCGGGCGGCGCTGAGTCCGCCATTGTGGGCAGCAACGCAAGCAGAGATGCCTGGGGACCGATACTAGCAAGCAACAGAGCACAGAGAGCTGTGTGTTTCGATCGCGGGATGGGGTGGCCCAGCGGCGTGGCATAGCCGCTGATGCAGCGCGCGGCGGGTTGCATCTGGGATTGCTGCACACGTCCACAACCAAGCCAACCCCCAATGATGTCAGCATGCTGTCCTCCTGATGCCAGGGAGCATTTGAGATCCCTTGGCTCTCAGCTGAGAGCCGTCTCCACTCTTTAACGGCGTGATATGCGGTGGGGATGGCTGTAGCCGCCCCAAGAGCATTAAGGGATGTGTGGTATGGATTGCATGAAAATATGATGGCCTCTGCTCGCCCCAGTCAAATTATGGGGGAGGGTCAGTCTAAGCGGCGGCGCCTGCTGGGCCGCGCTGTGCGTCCGCCCCTCGAGCGCCTTCCTCTGCATGACGCCATTCTGCCTCATCTGTCATCCTGCGCTTCCAGCCATCACTCTCCCAGCCTCACCCGCTATGCTGAGGTCCCCCGATCACTAGGAACGCGAATTCTCGCCTCTGGAGCCGGGCGGTGACGATGGAGGGCCCAAAGCGGCCCGACCTCAAGCTCCTCGTGGCCCAGATCGGCGAGATTTATGCCCAAGGGGAGGACAGCGGCTCGCAGTCGCAGGCCAGCGACGCCGACTTGCGTTCGCGCCTCCGCACCGTGTTGCTGGCCGTGCTGGACACGATTGACAGCGCATCAGGCGAGTGAGGTATTCAGGGGTACAGCGGGGGGCCTGAGGCGACGGGTTGCACCACTCGCCGCCTGCCGCCGCCCTTTTCGAGCGAGGAGGGCACTGGCCCTCTGTTCCTGCACCAGCCAACATTTGGTGGCCGGGCATTCAGTATTTGATGTACAGGGCCAATCAGCACCTGCCCTGGGGCCCACCCGGCCAATGCCGCTGCCTGGGCGCATGCCGCTCGCCGTCAACCGACGCCCGCCCTGCTGCCGGCCCTGTTGGGCTGCCTGCCCTGCAGGACTCAAGGATGTTGCCTCCATGCTCAAGCTGCTGGCCATCGCCCTCTCCCGCTCCCCAGCCCTGCTCAGCGGCGACGGCCACAGCGCCCTGCCCGTGGTGCTGGAGCGGCTGCTGCCGCTGCTGGCCCGTGCCGACCTGGCGCCCCTGCACCCAGACGTCACAAACCGCGTCTGCCAAATCTTCGGCCTCATCCACTCCACCGCCCCCAGCCTGCTGCCGTCGCTGGCTCGCGGCACCGTCGCACTGTTTGATGGTGGGCAGGGGATGGGCAGGGGTGGGCAGCGCCTTCATCCGCAGGCTCTTCCCGGGCAGTCTGCCGCCGGCTGTCTGCAGCTGTCCTGTGGGCAGCCCCTCCTGGTGCCTCCTCAGCCCTGCCAGCCAGTTTCCTCCTCTGCTGGATCTCATGCCTGCTCGCTGTCAGCAACCTCCTGATTCACTTGTCCCGCTGATCCAGCCATCCCCCTCCGGCCGCTTGCCCGCCCGCAGACGTGTGGGACGTGGCGGGCGTGCTGAGCAGTCAGCCGGGGCTGAGCGCCAGCGTTTCGTGCTTTGCCGGGGCGCTGCGCGGCACCGACTCTGCCGAGCCGCCGCTTGAGCTGCGCCTGGACAGCAGCGCCGCGTGCGAGGGCCTGCTGGGCGCCCTGCTGCGCATGATGGCGCAGTGCCTCACGCTGTGCCCGCTGGGCCTGGCCTCCCGCCTGACCTCGCCGCGCCTCCATGTCGGCCGCAACCTGCTGCTGAGCAGCCGCCCGAGGCTGCAGGCGTCGGCCATGCGGTACCTGGCGGCAGCGCTGAACAGCGCCCCGCTGGCGCCCTGCAGCCTGGGCCTGCTGCTGGACAGCCTGGGCCTGGCCACGCAGCGCCTCGCAGCGGAGCAGCAGCAGCAGCAGCAGCAGCAGGTGGCAGAGGCCGAGGAGCAGCGCGAATGGTGGCAGCAGCTGCTGGCGCTGCTGCGCATGCTGCACGACCTCGCCAGCGCCCGCCCCTCGGCCACCGCCCTGCTCATGCCACGCATCCACAGCCTGGCGGTGGCCGCCGCCACCTCGCCGCGCCTGCCGGCCGGCCTGCAGCAGCAGTGGTGCGAGCTGGTGCGCGGCACGCTGCTGGCGCAGCCGTTGCTGCTGGAGGACAGCTGCGCCCGCCTGCTGGCTGCCTTCCCGCTCGCCACGCCTGCCTGCCGCCAGCTGCTGCTCCAGTGCCTGGAGCTCTACCTGCACCTCCAGCAGCAGCTGTGCGGCGCAGAGGCCGTCGGCGCGGCCTTTGTGAAGGCCGCCTGGGACGCCCGCCTGGCGACAGAGGTAGGGGGCTACATGGTACCATGCTGCTCGACTGCAGCAGCTGCAGGAGCATGATGCGTTCTGCATGCTGGAAACTGCGATGCGCTCCAAGCCTGCCTGCTGGCCACCCCCCCGCAGGCTGTGGCAGCGCCAGCGGATGGGGATGCCCAGGAGGAGGTGGGCCGCTCCGCCCGCAAGCGGCGACGTGTGCGCATCAGCCCCCTGCGCCCCGCCTCCTCCCAGACAGAGGCGGCCGCAGGAGGGGAAGCCCGGCGCCTGCAGCCGCCGGGCCCCGGCCTGAAGGATGTGGCGGCAGCAGCGGCCCAGCTGGCGGCGGAGCTGCAGGGGATGTGCCGGCAGCAGCAGCCGGGCGTGGCGTGCGCCGAGGCGCTGGCCTCCCTGCTGGGCCTGCTGGCCCCGCTGGCGCCACGTGAGACCACAGCGCTGGCCCTGTCGGTGCTGCCCGCAGCCCTGCAGCCGCGGCCGGGCAGCCGGCGGCTGGACCTTGACGGCCAGGGCGAGCAGCTGTCGGCGCTGCTGCGCCTCACTCTGGCCACGCTGCAAGCCGGCCTGGCGGAGGCGGCGGCGGGGGCGGTGCCAGCGTCTGCGGCCCTGGCGGCGCTGCCGGCGCCGCACCTGCTGGCGCTGCTGCAGCGGTGCTGGCCAGCGGAGGCGCCCTTGGCTGCAGCTGGCGCTGACGTGGCAGCGGAGAGCAGGGCGCTGGCACTGTGTGCAGCCCTGGCAGCGCTGCAGGCGGAGCTGCTGGATCCAGTTGACTTTCTTGAGCTGCTCCAAAAGGAGCTGCAGCAGCAGGACGGCTCTGGCGGGGGCGGTCCGACGGCCGCCGTGGCTGCTGCGGTGCTGCTACCCGCGGCCTGCTGCATCGGCGCCAGCAGGGAGCACCTTCTGGGCAGCCAGCCGCGCGCCACGCAGGGCGGGCGCCGCCAGAAGCACCACCACCAGCCGCACCCGCCCAGCCCGCTGGTGGCCGCGCTGCAGCAGCTGGTGGGCGGCGTGGGGCAGCGCCCGCCCGAGCGGCAGCAGGAGCTGCTGGCGGCGGCCACCCGCGGCCTGTGCTGCGTGCTGGGGCACGCCCACGAGCCTGTGCAGCTGGCGCTGGCAGCCGTGGAGGCCGCCGCCGTGGCCGGCCCCGGCAGCGGCGGCGCATACGGGGTCGTCCGCGTGCTGCAGCGTGGCGGGAGGGCAGCCGCCGTGGCCGCCGAAGGCGCAGACTTCCACCCCACACTCACCGCCTCCTCCTCGGAATGGGTGCGGCTGGTGCTGGAGAAGCTGGTCGCCGCTGAGATGCCCGCCGAGGGCCAGGTGGGTGGCGCGGCGCGGCTCCCGCGCGGCATGTCGCAGCCTGGCCGGGCAGGCTGGCTGGGTCCACGTTTTGCTGGGCTGGGCTGCAAGCTTGCTGTTGATAACTGGAGTTGCAATGCCGTCGTTGCCCCAAGCCCACAGCCGGGGTGATCGAAGCTGTGCTTGCTTGCGGCTGGCACCCCGCTTGGGTTGCAGGCGGCCCTGGTGGATGCGGTGGCCGGCTTCCTGCAACGCGGCACGCAGGGCCAGTTGGAGCACAGCCGCCCGCTGGTGCGCTGGCTGCTGCGCTGCGCGGCCAGTCCGCAGGCGCTGGTGCGCGGCGCGGTGCTGCGCCGCGCGGCGCTATTTGCCGAGCCTCAGGTGGTGCTGACGATGTGGCACGAGGGCGAGCACCCCATCCACAGCAGGGACAGGGAGGTGCAAGTGGAGCAGTACGAGGCGCAGGCAAGTACTGCCTGCCCTGCACACCCTGCAGTACCGCAGTCCAGCTGGCGGGCCCACCGCGCCTGCACGCTTCCCTATCGGCCCGGCACCGCATCCCGAGCAGCGCCCTGCCCCTTTATGGTGCAGATGCTGCAAGCGCTGCGTGAGGAGCTGGAGGCGGCCGCCACCGCGGGCGACAGGGCGGGCAGCGCCAGCACGGGGGAGAGCATCCGGGAGGGGCTGGTGCAGGTGGGCGGCGGGGGCGCAGGCCCTGCACCGCCAGCCTGAAGGCATGCTGCCCTGCTTCCCCCAAAGACCAGCACTTGCAATGTTCCTCCCATTTCCCCTGACCACCCAGCCCTCCAGCTGCCCCTTCCCACCCCTTCCCCGCCCCGCCCTCCCTGCGCTGCGCCCAGATCATCGGCTGCGTGGGCGCCCGCATGCGCTCCCAGCCCGCCCACCAGCTTCTGCTGGGCATCATGATCACCCAGCTGGACCACCAGGAGCCGCCGATGCGCATGCTGGCGGCAGAGGCGCTGCTGGGTGAGCTGCTCAGGGGGGGCGTGGCATGCGCCCGGGGCCAAACACG